AAGACCTGGAGATTGGCAGGACACGGGGCCTTGAGGTCTATTCCCCATCAAGTGGGAATATCGGATTGCAGGCCGGTGTGTCCCTTATACGGCTGCTATTTATTACCTCTGGCATAATCCTTGCTGTTAAGTGGGATTCCTACAGCTGGTCGTCATAATGGCGGATTTAGAATTGTCATCCGACATGGAGCAGGATGTTGCTCCGCCTTCAGAGGCAAACCAGCGCAAAGGGGGGAAGAAACGCTCCAAAACCAAAAATACTAGATCATCTAAAGCGTCTCATGCCACACAACTTGGAGATCGACACAGGTCTGAGCTACAGCGTCACAAGGCGCTTGAGAAACAGTTCGAGAAAGCAAAGAAAGCCAGAGACCAAGACATCTCTACTACAGCCTCAACGGGGTCTGGTGTTTACCATGACCATTCCAGTGCTTCTTCAGTTTGCTCAGACGCATTTGCAGCCACTGATCATCGCCCTTCTACATCTTCGAATTTAGAAGCAGTGCGTGGGGTTTCTATGTTTTTACCTAATGTGTCCTTGGCCCATCAAGGGGTCCAAGCGGATCGTCCCAGACCAGCACCGTCGGCTACCTTTACCCCGACAGCTGCTGGACTCAGGCCAGAGGAGCCCACGGGCCAAATAGACTTGCAGTCGATGTTGTCAGATGCCTTGGCAAAAATCTTGGCGGCCGGACTTCAGCAAGGCGTGGGTGGTCTTCAGACGGCTTCCATCAAGCCAAAACCACCGACCCAGATCCCTCCTCCGCCTAAAGCAAAGGAATTGTCTCAGGTCGAATGTGTATCTTCGGAGACGTCTGACCAGGAGGAGGACTGTCTAGAAGACATAGAATTCTCCGAGGACCAGGGGCTACCACCGGAGAAACCATCATTTACTGGGTAGTTTCGCCCTTCTGTCTTCAAATCGCTCTTGCACAAAGCTAAAGTTACCACTCAATTTGGACTATTAACTGCACCTCATTCTGACACAGCTGCCCAACTTTCATCCACACATGACGCCTTGTTTCAGGTGGCTAAGCAGGAGAAGGACGCTATTCCTTGTCCACCGCTTTTTGCAGATGTCGTTCAGAGTGCCTTTGGTCAGCCTGGTTCCTTAACGGCTCCCAGTAATTAGACAAGCGACTTTATTGCGCGGCTACGGAGTTGGACGATATCTTAGCCTTGCCAACTGTTGACCCGCCTGTGGCCAACCTCTCTTCGCCTTCAGTAGTGTCGGCAGATGCTATAGATGGGTTGAAGTCCGACGAAAGAAAAACTGAGATGGGTTTCAGGAAGGCCCATCAGGCAGCCACTTGGGCAATCAAAGCGGCAACAGCTACATCGTTTTTCAATAGAGCAACGTTGATTTGGCTCAAACAACTACAGGAGCGTCTCCCCATCAACGAGACGCGTATACACCAGGATATTAACAAGATAGTTGCAACCACGGAATACTCGGCGGATGCGTCCTTAAACGTCGCTAAATTTGCAGCCTGCGCTCTAGCTTCGACAGTTACCAACAGGCGTATGTTTTGGCTCCGCAATTGGAAAGCCGATTCAATGTCGAAGTGGAAGCTTGCTTCATCAACCTTCAAAGCTCCGGCCTTGTTTGGCGCCGCCTTGGATCCCCTCTTGGTGGAGGATAAAGAAAAACGTAAAGTTCTTCCATCTTCCTTTCGCAGACCAGAGCACAGGTATGTGCCTTACAGCAATCGGCAGCCATTTCGGACCTATTCGGGATCCAGTAGGTCCTATGCTCAGCGATCCTTTGGTCACGGTGGCGACCGTTCCCAGGATCGACAGCCCTTTCGGGACCGACAACGCTCACAACCTTCTTCCAAGCGTCCTTTCAGAGGTGGCGGCTTCCGCTCCACCAAACGTGGCAAATGACTCACAAACTCCAGATGCCATTGGTGGTCGTCTCCAGCTGTTTCATCATCAGTGGTAACTTTCGACAACCGAGGAGTGGATCCGATACACCGTTCGTCACGGTTTATGCCTCGAATTCGTCGGGGTTCCTCCCAGTCGCTTCCGTCGCTGTCCGGTCTCTCATGTCATTCACCAGAGACACTTGATGGAGGAGGAAATTGCCCATCTATTAAACATCAAAGCTATAGAACCGGTGCCCGAGGCCCAAAAGATGACCTGTTCCTGGTCTCCAAAACCTCGGGAGGGCACAGAGGCATCTTGAACCTAAAGCACTTGAACAAGTACATCCTGTATCGCAGGTTCAAGATGCAGTCCCTCTCGTCGATTCTGGCGTGCATCTGGCCAAACGATCTCCTGCAGTTGGTGGATTTACGGGAAGCCTATTTGCACATCCCGATCCACCCGGCGCATCGCAAGTACCTGAGATTCGAATACAACTCTCACCATTACCAATACTGTGCGATGCCCTTTGGACTCTCTTCCGCTCCCAGAACCTTTACGAAACTTGTCGCTGTGGTGGCCGCGTCCCTGAGGTCTCTGCCAGTTCGTCTTCTCTGCTACCTAGACGACATCCTTGTCCTGTCATCTTCTCCACGTCAAGCATCGAGCAACATGGAGGCAGTTCTAAGAGTATTTCAGAGTCACGGCTTCACCATAAACCACAAGAAAAGTCATCTGGTTCCGACGACACGGATACTTCATCTGGGGGCGGTAATCGATTCAACCAAAGGTCAGGTCTTCTTGTCACCGGATCGCGTCCAGGACATCAGGACATTGGTTTCTCAGATTACGGCCAGCCGGACGGTTCCGCTTCTCCGCCTGTCCCAGATCTTAGGGAAAATGGTGTCCTGCATCAATATCGTTCCCTGGGCACGCAGACATACGAGACCATTGCAGTGGTTCCTGCTCCCGTTTCAGAAGGCCAAACACAGCACTTCTCCATCGCCGGTTCATCTTCCGCCTCAACTTCGGTCGTCACTGACGTGGTGGACGTCCCCTGCTCTTCTCCGGGGGTGTGTGTTCCTCGAAGTCGATCGACTGGTCCTGACGTCAGATGCCAGCCTGGTGGGCTGGGGGGCTCACCTTCTAGATCAGGTAGTCCAGGGTCGTTGGTCCCCGTCGGAGAAGGCGAACAGCATCAATTGTCTGGAGTTGAGAGCTGTTCGCTTTGCCCTACGACATTTCTGTCCCATCTTGGAGGGCCGTCACGTTGATCCGGATGGACAACATGACAACCAAGGCTCATGTAAATCGAGAAGGGGGCACTCGGTCCCGGAGCCTAATGATCGGGTCGGAATTGCTTTTGACCTGGGCAGAACGTCACACAGCATCCCTAAGAGCAGATCATATTTCCGGACTTTCCAACGTGCAAGCGGACTGGCTCAGCTGGGAACGCATCGACCCGGCCGAGTGGCGACTCCATCCAGACATATTTCAGGACATAGTTCGACGTTTTGGAAAGCCGCTCGTAGATTTGTTAGCTACTCCCAGCAATACGCAACTGCCAAGGTTTTTCACCCGCTACCAGTGCCAGGAGGTGGAAGGCTGCAACGCCTTGCGGTGCCCGTGGCCGGACGGGCTTCTGTACGCATTTTCCCCGCTTCCTTTGATCTCTCAAGTCATTCAGAAAGTGTTGTTAGACCAGGCAGAAATCCTGTTGGTGGCCCCTTGTTGGCCGCGCAGACCGTGGAACGCGGACCTGTTGAGCCTCTCCGTGTCACCTCCATGGACAATACCTCAGCATGTCGTCTCTCTCAGCCAGGGGGTCATCGTCCATCCAGAGCCCCAGTGGCTCCGATTGACCGTCTGGCACTTGAGAGGCGGCTGCTGAAGAAGGACCACCTATCGGACTCAGCCATTGAAATTATCCAATCGGCCAGACACCCTTCGACGACTCGTATATACCAAGCTTCTTGGAAGGCGTTCTCAATCTGGTGCTCGGGACACCACGTGGATCCGACGTCGGCTGACATCCCAGATGTGTTAGACTTCCTCGTGGATGGATTATCTAAAGGTCTGAAACCTGCCACATTGAGGCGCCAGGTGGCGGCACTTGCGACTGTACTTACGTGTGAATCTCATCGTTCATTGACGCAGAACCCTCGTATCAGGAGCTTTCTAATGTTTCACCTCCGGTGGTCCACCGTTTCCCGAATTGGGACTTGCCTCTAGTACTCCAAGCGCTCACCTCGCCACCCTTCGAGCCGCTGACTTCGATTCCGCTGAAGTACTTAACATTCAAACTTAACTTTATGATTGCGATAACTTCTGCAAGGCGGATTTCCGAACCGACGGCCTTGTCGGTTCGGAGCGATCTTTGCAAGTTTTATTCGGATCGAGTTGTGTTAAGGTTGGACCCTTCCTTCTCACCAAAGGTAAATTCCTGGTTTCACCGGGCCCAGGAAATCATCCTTCCGAATTTCTGCCCGGATCCTCGGAACCCTAGGGAGAAAAACTGGCATACTCTAGACATGCGAAGGGCCCTCCGTAGGTACGTCAGGAGAACAGCATCGTTTCGTCGTTCTGAAGCTCTGCTGGTTTTGTTCCACCCCTCCACTATGGGGAAGAAGGTGTCTTCCGCTACGGTTGGGCGCTGGATCAAGGCCTGCATCTCGACGGCATATACCAGCAAGGGCAGGACCGTTCCGGGTGTTATTTATGCACACTCCACACGCAGTGCGGCGCCACAACAGCCTGGGCGACTCAGGCTTCAGTTCTAGATATCTGTCGAGCTGCATCTTGGACGTTGGTTTCTACATTTATCTGACACTACAAGATAGACTCGTTTGCTGCGGCGGAGGCATCCTTTGGCCGTAGAGTTTTGCAACAAGTGGCCAATAGCCGGGACTCAGGGAGCAATCAGCCTCCCACCCGGGATCTATAAGCTTGGGTACATCCCAATCCATGGATTGGAGGAGCAGCGTACTGGAAAACGGACGTTGACTTACCTCTGAACGTCCCTTTTCGGTACACTGCGACTCCAATCCATACCCGCCCGTTGTTTGGGCTTCCTGTTCCTGAGTTACCTTACATGTTTCTTGTACTGGTTGAGGTTTCTTGTTTTGGACTTCAAGCTCCTGTACCTTCGTGAAGAAAGACTGACGGGAGTGACACAGAGTGGGCGTGGTCAGCCAAGGGAAGGAAGAATTTCTGCACTCAGTTCCCCTGTAACGTGAGGAGAGCTTCCCCAATCCATGGATTGGAGTCGCAGCGTACTGAAAAGGGACGTTCAGAGGTAAGTCAACGTCCGTTTTAAAAGATCTCAACAAGCAATATTTTTCAGCACATTATAATTAATTAATGTGCCTACAAGTATTTGTTCCTTGCATAATCTGCATCTGCAAACTGTCTTCCTCTTCCTTCCGTTCATCTCTCCCCTTCCCCACCTCAGTCTAAATCATATATAAGTCTAGTCCAGTGATGGTGACACTTTTAGACTCAGTGTTTCACAAATTTGGAAAATGCATAACTTCACTCTGGTAGTGTAACTGTTACATACACCCCCAACAAAAGAGAAACAATTCTGTCTCCCTCCACCTAGGCCACCCTGAACAGCGGCACTCAGAAGCAACTCTGAGACTGGGACCGAAAGACCTTGATTTCAGCCCTGGTACCACCACTGCTACTCAAAAGGGTGCATAAACTTTGAGGAATGGTGTGATTGCCCAGCAGCCCAGCACTCCCTGCTTACCTTTAGGTGATGTTCTTTCTGTTAACAGGTCCCTATAGCCTTTGTCATACAAGGCCTTTTTCTTGAAGTGACTTTGGAGAATGCTCTTCCGTGTCTTCTGCAGCCTCCAAAAAGTATGTGAAAGGACACCGCATTCTTGTACAATTTTCTGAGGCTCAGGGGCTGCACAAGAGCCCAGCCCTCTTACATGACTTCTAGAGTGCCCTGAGGCCATGTGAAAATGTACCTCATTATCACATAACCTTTGCAGCCTTTGAAAATCATGTGAGAATGAAATTAGTTTTCAGAGGTTGATGAACACTGCCATAAACACTGGCACATCACCCAAAACATGATATGTCATCTTTGACACATGTATCACATATTTGCTATCACAGCCATGCTATACATCTGACGAAGTGAGCTGCAGCTCATGAAGGCTTATTCATTTAAATAACATTTGCTAGTTTGGAAAGATGCTACCAAACTCCTGATTCTTGAGTACAGAAATAGAAAAATATCCTTTGCCTCCTGAAACATAAATTATGCAAAGAATTTTATTGTTTCCAGGCAAAACTTAAAAAATCTTCAGTGAGTTGACTTTATAAATATATCCATGAAATGTTTTGGTAACAGAATGAACTCTTTTGCCATTGTTATCTTCCAGGATGCTTTTTTTGACTTTACAATATATTTTGCAGGTCTGGGATTCTACTATCTAGACTAACTAGAACCAGTCCTTATAGGCTTCACAAATCACAAATCACACCAATTTAGTCAGAAGCTGCTACAGTATATGCTTTCAGTCCAGTCTAAAAGGATGTTACTTTAGTTTACACTATTTTAAATATGCGATACAGCCCATTGTTTTGATGTCTGAATCAGAAGACATAGTGGGCTGGGGTTAGTAAAACAGTACCGTTTAAAAGGACGATTGGCACATGAACTGGAGGCTGTGTGTTTTGGTTTCACAATAACTTATGAAAGAATCAAGTTTTATGTAAGCTAGATCTGCTGGCAGTTCCACACTGGGAATCCCAGTATATATAGATTTTCTTTCCCTGTTTGAGTAAGCTCTCTGTCAGATTTCTCACCCATTGATCAGTTCTCTAAGATGTCACTGTCCTCTCTCATCCGGATTGATTCTTCTGTTTTGTGTTCTTTTGCAGGGTAGAAAATTTGTGTTTCTGTCTTTCTTTGCCCTTGTTATGTTGTGCTAGTTGTGCCATTTTTGTAAATTCTGTGACCTCCTCCAATACATCTGTTGCAAGAAGTGATTTCAGCTCCTGAAGTTTGTGCTCCACTCTCTTTCAAAACGTCAATTGTAAAATTAATCTGTTTTATTATTTCATTGAGAAGAGAGACCAGATTACCTTAAACAGTCCCATTTGTTTCTTAGAGCCCAGTTTTTCATACAATCAGTAATTGGAGCAGCACTTGTAAAAGGCACAAAAGTCTGCTGAATGGCCACTCTGCAATTCTGCCCTAGTTTGTCACTGAGGGTGCATCTAAAGCTCAGATGGGCACACTTTCATATCCATCCAAGTTTCATCCTTAACTTACGTTTAAACATTCATTTAGTAACTGTTCAAAGTTACAATGGCACTGAAAAAAGTGATGTTAAAGTGACTTATCCCACCCTCTTTTAAACAAATAGTTCATAAGAGGGTAGTATTTTTCTTCTAAAGTATATAATATTGTATGTTATTATAATATTTATTAGTTTATAATATGTATTAATGTATAAAGTAGTTTAAAATACTGACTGTAACATTTTAAAAATATACTAAAATTATTTTTAAAAGGTTGGTTAATGGCAGAATTATTACAAATGAGCCTTCAGATAAGCAACGTAATTGAACAGTTGGGTAAAAATTGAACAGTAAGTATAATTTCATTAGTATGTACAATTTTCAATTGTACAGACTGAATCTGTTGAATTTGACTTGAAGTAAAATATTTTGCAGGTTCAGGTTTAACTTTCTGTGCTAATAAAGTTCAAAATAGTACTGATAACTTACAAGGTATGTGTATGTACTTCTGTTTGACATTTCAGAGACCATTTATCTTTATATTGTAGGTGAAGCAACAGAATGTGGAGCAACAAAGCAAATGAATTTCCCTTACACAATCCAAAGTTCTCCCAAAACAGGAATTCCATCAGAGGTACGAATTAATTTAATTTTTATCTCACTTGGTGCAAAGAATTTTATCTGACTTTCTAAATTTTAACAGAATAGAACAGAAATTTGTGTTAAACTGAAACGATATCTGTTGGGAAGAATGATCAGATAACAAGGTCTGCTTTTTTTATTCCTTAACTTCTGCTAGCAAACATTTTGGTTTCTATTTGCAAATTTGTTAGTGAAAGCTAAATAATAAAAAATAATAATTAACCTGAATCACTGGAGGATGAAGGCCTCTTCATTGACAGTTATAGACCAAAATCTGACAACAGTGGCCTAGTGCAGGCTGGTAGATGTTTCTAGATTTCCTAATTTAAGATTCAAGTTCACCCAAGTGACTTCCATACTGAAAGGGAGACTAGAACCTGGGCCTCTGCTCCTAGTTCTTAATTCAGCCTCTTAACCACACCATACTTGTTAAAGGCTAAATTAAGGGGTGTTAAATTTGCAATTAAAATTAAAATTGCATATTTGGGAAAAAAAAGTCAGAATTGTAAAATAATTGTCTACAGAAATTTTTTTTAAATACAGAAACGAGTATTTTTACTGTTTACCAACCCAATGCTTTCACCATTTTAAGGTTGGCATATTGCTAACATATGTTATCTAATCAAATATTATCTTAATGCTCTTACCACTAGGCATCATACAGTATAGTTTGCCTGATGTAATTTCAAAGTTCCGCATCACTGATAGCTTCCATGTAAAAATCTGTTGGTTGAAGCTGGCTGACTCTATAGATAGGTTTACAAATTGTAATAACCCAGAAAGCATGGCTGACATTTTATGGGTTAGGACTCTGCATTTCCATAACACTGCTCCTCCAATCCATAGTACGGGATCTTCTTCTTTCCTGTTACTAGGGAACTGAGTGCAGATCTCTTCCAACGTTTCTTTTGGCCATGCCCACACTGCCTCTCCTACGCCAGTCTTTCTCACTCAGTTACTGAGGGAACTTCTGTTTCTTTAGCTCTGCAGTTTGACAGCCTTAAAAGATCTCTTTTATTTTAGTTTATTATTTTTGTTTCACAATCATTGTCTGAAGGAGCTGCTACGAGGGAATTTGATTGCTGTGGAGGGGCGGTAGCGTGTCTGGGGCACCAGATCGCTCCGTTCCCTCGTTTAACTGTCAGCCAGCCGGATTCTGTCCCAGCTGGGCAGATCTGTGTCATTCTTAGCCGCGGGCGTATCGTTGACTGACTGGTCAGCTAGCATAGTCACAATCGCCTCAGCTCCGCCCTTTTCAGCGGCTCCGGAGTCAATGCCGATGATTTAAGGCATACTCTGACGTCCAGGCATTGTTAAAATTTCAAAATCAGCGCTCGTGGAGGATTGTCGCTGCCGTGGCCACCATTTTGGATTCCTGTGTTGGCGGCCGCCATTTTGGATGCGCTCCGGCTTTCGACCATAGCTCCTGAGGGACTCCTAAGGTAACGGGCGTTATATCTGGCCATCAGCCGCGGCCGCCATTTTAACAGCGAATTAGGGCGGCCGCCATTTTGAATGCCATTTTGCATGCCCCTTGGCGTAATTTCAAACATCGTTTGATTTGAGCACAGTGTATTATCAGGGGTGCTTGTTTAAAAGTGCGGAGGCGGCTTTTAAGGCCTTTCCAAACGGCCTGGCCACAGACCTGGATTTAGTCTGCTTCTACTCAGGCGAAAGATCTTCATAGGCAGTTCTGACCTACTTGTTTGGCCAGCGGTCCTGACTTCCTGAACTTCTGAGCCTTTGTATTATTTAGATTGGTAGATTCTTTACTATCTTACCAAACAGCTGTCTACATACCATCATTCAGGATTGCTGACTATAATCTTTCTTCTGAATCAGAGCAAGAGGCCAGTCTTCTGCCTGTTCACTCAAAGAAGCAGACTAGGCCGAAAAGACACAAAACAAGTGACACAGCCTCTAAGTCTTCCCACAATAAAGAAGAGATGAGGCACCACAAAGCACTAGAGAAGCAATTTGAAAGAGCTAGACATGCCAAAAAGCCGACATCTAGTTCTGTACTCTCATGTGAACCGGGTCCTTCAGCTTCTGCTTCTCTACAATTACAAGAGGACTGTGATGCCCCGCAGTCAACTGGAGCTGGACTTGATGCTAACCAGGATTCTGGCCCTTCTGGTGTTTCTTTGGCACCACAACCAGACCAACACTTGTAGGCCAGAGGTGAGCCTTCAGCTACATTTACCCCGACTGCAGCCGGTCTTCGCCCGGATAAGTCAGCGGGCCAGATGGACTTTCAATATCTTTTGTCTGATGCTCTGGCAAAAATCATTTCTGCTGGCCTGCAGCATGGCGCTGGCACCTCTCAAATGCAATCGCTCAACCAATGATCGCAGTTGCGTCCTTCTACGTCTACCAATCAGACTGCCAAAGAGCACGTTGAATATGTGTCTTCAGATGAATCTGACCAGGTTGCAGATTACCCAGAAGATATAAAGTTTTCTGAAGATGAAGATCTGCCACCGGAGAAACCAGTCTTCACCGGTCTGTTCAGGCCTTCTGTTTTTAAGTCACTTCTGCATAAAGCAAAGGTAACTACACAATTTGGCATGGCACCCAAAGCACCTGATACGACCAAACAGTCTTCAGCACCACATGACGCTTTATTTCAGGTGTCTAAACCTGAAAAAGACGCTATCCCATGTCCACCATTATTTGCTGATGTGATTCAAAATGCCTTTGGGCAGCCTGGATCGCTGACAGCTCCAAGTGGATTAGATAAAAAGCTTTACTGTGCGGAGTCAGAGATGGAAGATCTTTTGGCCTTACCATTTGTGGATGAACCCGTAGCCAATCTTTCATCAACTTCTTCTGTCACGACAGATGCATTAGACGGCCTGAAATCTGAAGATAAGAAATTAGAGTTGGGATTCAGGAGGCCGCCTGGGCAATAAAAGCAGTAACAGCTATTTCATTTTTCAATAGGGCTTCGTTAATATGGCTTCGTCAGTTACAGGAGCGCTTGCCTGCTGCTGAAACACGCGTCCATCAAGACATCAATAAGTTGGTTGCTGCAACCGAGTATTCCGCGGACGCATCACTGAATGCAGCGAAGTTCGCGTCTCGTGCTTTGGCATCGAAGTGACCAATTGCAGGCTCTTCTGGTTGAGAAACTGGAAGGCTGATGCAAAAGCCAAGTGGAAGTTGGCTTCATCTGCTTTCAAGGCACCTTCTCTCTTTGGTAAGGTGCTCGAACCTCTTTTAGTGGAAGACAAGGAGAAGCAAAAAATTTTACCATCATCTTATCGCAGACCGGAACGCCGGTATGTACCTTATAACCAGAGGCAGCCATTTCGGACCAGCTCCGGGCCCAGTGGGTCCTACTACCAACGATCCTATTTCCCGTCTTCTGACCAAGGTCCTGATAGACAAGGGTTTAGAGACCGTCAACGCAATCAAACCTCTGTTAAAAGACCGTTTAGAGGTGGAGGTTTCCGATCCACAAAAAGGGGCAAATGACTCGAACGCCCTAGATGCCATTGGTGGGCACCTTCAAAAATTTTGCCACCAATGGGACTTGTCCACTCCTGAGGAGTGGATCAGATGCACAGTGCGTCACGGACTTTGTTTGGAATTTATAGACACGCCTCCCAGTCGTTTTGTGCGCTGTCCGATATCACCGCTGCATCATTATCGTCAATTGATGGACGAGGAAATTGCTCATCTTTTGGCCATAAGGGCAATAGAACCGGTCCCCAAGCATCAGGAAATGACAGGTTTCTACTCCACCCTGTTCCTGGTGGCCAAAACATCGGGGGGACACAGGGGCATCTTGAATTTGAAACACCTGAACAAGTCCATTTTGTATCGAAGATTCAAGATGCAATCCCTAAGCTCGATATTGACGTGCATCAGACGACACGATCTACTTCAATCTGTAGACCTTCGGGAGGCATATCTCCACATCCCGATCCATCCGGCGCATCGCAGATATCTGAGGTTCGAGTACAATTCACATCATTACCAGTACTGCGTGATGCCATTCGGGCTTTCCTCAGTGCCCAGAACGTTTACCAAGTTAGTAGCAGTTGTGGCCGCGAATCTACGTACCATCCCAATTCGTCTTTTATGCTACTTGGACGACGTTCTAGTCCTTTCATCATCGACAACTCAAGCCACAAAGGACATGGAACAAGTGATCCGTGTGTTTCAGAACCACGGCTTTACCATAAATTACAAAAAGAGCCATCTAGTTCCCACTACATGTCTTCTGCATTTAGGTCATAGATTCGGCATTGGGCCAGGTATTTTTATCACCGGACAGGGTACAAAACATCAAAGCATTAACAATGCAAATACGATCTCAACGAAAAGTCCCTCTTCTCCAGCTATCCCAGTTGTTGGGGAAGATGGTGTCATGCATTGCCATAGTACCATGGGCTCGAAGGCACATGAGACTACTACAGTGGTTTCTGCTCCCATTTCAGAAGTTGGGATGCAGTACGTCACAGTCACAGATTCTACTACCACCTCAAGTGCGCTTGTCTCAAGTGGTGGGCTTCTCCGGCTCTTCAGAAAGGTTGTGTGTTTCTCGAAGTAGACCGTCTTGTGATAACATCGGATGCCAGTCTAGTTGGATGGGAAGCCCATCTGTTGGATCAAGTAGTACAGGGTCGATGGTCTCCTGTAGAAGCAACAAACAGCATAAACTGGCTAGAACTAAGAGCAGTTCGCCTTGCATTGCGACACTTTTGCCCATTGCTGGAGGGTCAGAATGTATTGATAAGGACGGACAATATAACTACCAAAGCTCATGTCAATCGGGAGGGGGGTACTCATTCTCAACCCCTTATGATCGAAGCAGAACGTCTATTGGCATAGGCAGAGAGACACACGGCATCTTTAAGAGCAGAACATATTTCCGGAATAACGAATGTGCAAGCAGACTGGCTCAGCCGGGAACGGCTGGACCCAGCGGAGTGGCGTCTTCACCCAGACAATTTCCAGGACATTGTTCAGAGGTTCGGCCGGCCCCTGGTGGACTTGTTTGCAACGCCACAGAATGCGCATCTGCCTCGTTACTATACTCGCTACCAGTGCAAGGGAGTGGAAGGAATCAATGCCTTAAGATGTCAGTGGCCTCCCGGGCTACTTTACGCTTTTCCGCCGCTTCCGTTGATTCCTCAAGTAATTCGGAAGCTGATCGGAGAACGAGCGGAGATTCTATTAGTGGCACCTCTGTAGCCAAGAAGACCATGGTACGCAGACTTAGTAAGCCTGTCTGTGTCTCCTCCATGGACTATTCCGCTTCAGCAGGTCTCTCTCAGCCAGGGGGTCATCGAACATCCAGAGCCTCAATGGCTCAAGTTGACCGTCTGGCACTTGAGAGGGTCCTGCTGAGGAAAGACAGAATTTCTGACAAGGCAATTGAGATTATACAATCAGCCAGGCGTCCATCGACGAAGCGTATTTACCAAGCTTCATGGAAAGCATTTGCAAAGTGGTGTGTGGCTCACCATGTGGACCCAACATCGGCTGATATACCTGATGTTTTGGAGTTTTTATTGGAAGGTTTGTCCAAGGGGCTTAAAGCAGCAACTGCGTCATCAAGTAGTGGCATTGTCTACAGTGCTTAATTGTGAACCACATAGATCTTTGTCTCAGAATCCCAGGATTCGCAGCTTTTTGTGAGGAGCAGCTAACAGATCTCCTCCTGTAGTACATAGATACCCATCTTGGGACTTACCATTTGTACTCCAGGCACTTACCGTTCCACCGTTTGAACTGCTGGGTTCCATTCCTATAAAGTTTCTATCTTTTAAACTTACCTTTTTGCTTGCCATAACATCTGCAAGGCGAATTTCCGAGCTGGCGGCTTTATCAATTCGTAAAGATTTATGCATTTTTTATCAGACAGGGTAGTCATGAGGCTAGATCCTACGTTTATACCTAAAGTCAATTCTACCTTTCATCGAACACAGGACCTCATACTCCCGAATTTTTGTCCCAATCCAAGGAATAGGCGTGAGCAAAATTGGCACACGTTGGATGTGAGACGTACTCTGAGGCGTTACATTAAGAGAACGGAGTCATTTCGCTTATCTGAGGCTTTGCTAGTATCATTCTATCTATCAACAATGGGAAGGAGAGTGTCCACAGCTACGGTAGGACGATGGATCAAAGCCTGTATATCCACAGCGTATGACAAAGCAGCTAAACCTTTGCCGGGCAGAATTTATGCACATTCAACACGTAGCGCGGCGACCACGGCCACGTGGGCAACTCAAGCATCTATTTTGGACATCTATCGAGCTGCCACTTGGGCATCGCCTTCTTCGTTTATTACTCATTATAAAATTGATTCTTTTTCATCAGCTGATGCTTCTTTTGGACGTAGAGTTTTACAACAAGTAGTTTCAGCATCGGAACCAGGGAGCAGTCAGCCTCCCGCCCAGGACTTGTGAGCTTGGGTACATCCCGTACTATGGATTGGAGGAGCAGCGTTATGGAAAATGAACGTTGACGTACCTGAACGTTCCTTTTCGGAACGCTGCGACTCCAATCCATGCCTGCCCAGTTGGGCTTCCTGTCCCTGTTTATGAATTCTATGTTCCTATGTTTATGTTACATTATTTCAGACTTTGCAGTTCCTGCGCCTTCGTGAGAAAGACTGGCGTAGGAGAGGCAGTGTGGGCGTGGCCAAAAGAAATGTTGGAAGAGATCTGCACTCAGTTCCCTAGTAACAGGAAAGAAGAAGATCCCATACTATGTATTGGAGTCGCAGCGTTCCGAAAAGGAACAATTCCTGAAACAAAGTATTAAATTTCAGAAGTTCTGTTAAATCCTTTTTGGATATGTCATAATTTGATAGAAACAAAACTTGAAATATTTTAGTTGTTCTGGGTTTTGACTGAAACAAAAGCCAATTTGGTTTAGTGTTAAGGCACCAGAGTAGTCTGGCTGCCAACATCCAACATGCCAGCGACAAGAGGACAGAAGTTTGGATATGCTGATGATTTGGGCATAGTAGTCCAAGAAAAACACATGGAGGTGGCAGATAGCTTCCTAACCAAAGATCGTAAAATCTTGGGAAAATTATTCACTGACTGGAGGCTCACTCATAGCACCAGCAAAATGGTAAATACATGCTTCTACCTTAATAACAAACTAGCATATGAAGCCCCTAAGGTCTACTTAAACAATAACCTACTCCCCTATAATTCCCATCCAAAGTACCTTGGAGTAACGTTGGACTGGACTCTCTTCTATAAAGTACACCTAGAGAATATGGCAGCAAAAATCAATACTAGGATCAACATCTCAAAAAATGATGTGAAACTAAACGAAGAGCTTCAGCTGCCACCCTCAGGTCATCAGCACCAAGGTTGGTCTACTCCACAGCAGAATACTGTGCCCCTGTATGGCTTAACAGCTGCCATACTGGTAAGTTAAATGCCATGAGGATTATAAACAGATGTATTAAAACCACTCCGACTTGCTGGCGTCCTGTTCTGAGCCATATAGCATCACCAGCTTTATGAAGGCAAGATCACTAGTGAGAGAATCCAGTACAGAAAAATTATGAACAACTCCTACCAGTGTACGCTGACCTTCCTCATTTATCAGCTGGAAGACTCAAATCCAGGAAAACCCCACTGGCATTTGCGCAACATCTGCCCAACAATTTTAACATTGATTCCCAATGGAAAGCCAAATGGTTTGCTGAACATCCAGACATAGGAAGACATACAGATGACCCCACAAAAAAGATGGCAGGCTTTGAACTGCCACATCAGCAAAGGACAATCCTGAATAGAACTCGCACCTCACACAACATCTGCCCAGACTTATAAGTAAGAATAGAATAGAATAGAATAGAATAGAATAGAATAGAATAGAATAGTCTTTATTGGCCAAGTGTGATTGGACACACAAGGAATTTGTCTTGGTGCATATGCTCTCAATGAACCTAAAAGATACATTCCTCAAGAATCATAAGGTACAACACTTAATGATAGTCGTAGGGTACAAATAAGCAATCAAATCATGCTAGGAAACAGTGAGACATAGTATCCTCCCCTCAGTGTGACTGCAGAAGTCCCATATCCCATGTCAAATTATAGATCACATCATGACCGCCTGTAAGCTAATGCCATATACCTGTCCAGTATCTGATTTTTTTAGTATAAACAATACTGTGCTTCAGTGGTTGGATGGCCTAGACATTGGTTTTTGAACACAAATCTTTTTAATATTTATACTTTATTGTGTTTTAGTTATCTAGGTGAAATATTAAAATAGGTAGATAGGTAGGTAGAGATAGAGATATATATTGCTAATTTATGTATGATATGCCACACCTAAATAAATAAATAATAAATAAATAAAAATAAATAAATAATAAATAAATAAATAAATAAATAAATAAATAATTAATAAGGCACCAAACTAGAAACCAAGAGGCCCTGAGTTCAAGTCCCATCTTAGCCATGAAAGCCATTGGGTGACCTTGAGCCTGTTACTCTCTCCTCGCCCACTCAACCTCACAGAGTATTATATGTGTTTGTCAGCTGAAATTATTGGTAAAAATAATAAAAGTTGAATATAAATAAATAAAAAGATGTATGATTTTAAAGGGGAAGTAGGGAAAAACTTGCTTTGGTTGCTTTTTCCATCTCCTTCAGAAACAAATATATTAACTCTAGTACTGTTCTAATTTCCCCTGCTTCAGGGGTGAAATCCAGCAGGTTCTGACAGGTTCTGGAGAACCAGTAGTGGAAATTTTGAGTAGTTCGGAGAAATACCACCTCTGGCTGGCCCCAGAGTGGGGTGGGAATGGAGATTTTGGAATATCCTTCCCTTGCCACGCCCACCAAGCCACACCACACCCACAGAACCAGTAGTAAAAAAAAATGGATTTCACCATTGCCCTTCTTGGTTGGTGTACCTATTCTTTACAAGATGTTGCCAGCATAGTAATAGGCATACTTTGGAGATACTGAGGGCTTAGTTCCAGACCACTGCAATAAAGCAAATTTCTCAATAAAGTGAGCTATGTTAATGTTTTGGTTTCCCAGTGAATATTTAAGTTACAGTTACACTATATTGTGATCTATGAAGTCTGCAATAACATTATGTCTAAAAAATATTATATCTTAATTAAAAGACACCTTAATGCTAAAAAAAAATGTTAATCAGCATCTGATTCCTCAGTGAGTTGTAATTTTTTGCTGGTGGATTGTCTTGTAAAAAAACCTAAAATATTTATGAAGCACAGTAAATTAAAGCATAATAAAATGAGGTATGCCTGCATTTTGTCATCTTGCCCATTGATTCCCAATCTTCCCAATGTTTTTCATTTTTTAACTTCTTTAGCTCCACACAGCCACTGCTGCTGCTATCAATGTTTGCAAAACATAACAAGAAAGAGTGTTTTATAGTCCACACAGGCAACAAGCAGGCCCTCGGTAATATCACAATTGTCATGGGAAGGAGTTATCCATCTACTTTTCCTACTGAACCTTGGCATTTTCTTACCTCTCATCACAAAAACACTATTGCTTGGAACAGTCAAATTTTGTTTTGTATCTGAATCAATGCTTCGGAAACATACGTACAGTATCTTAGTTTTAATAAGAACCACCTGAAATAAGCTATTCTGTATACAAAATCATTTTGTGAATGAACCATTTTGTTTTGCCCTAGGTTGGGTTCATACAACATAGTAACCCCAAACCAGATAAACTTACATTATAGCTTATTGTGATGTGTAAATCCGGCCACAGTCAAGTAAGTATATTCAGAGAAAAAAATATTGTGAAGAGATTGTTTTAAACAGTATTTAAAACTGTTACTGAACCTTGCAATATGTTTTATCACAAAGATGATCCTTGAATTTATATAATGAGAGTATGTTTTCAATTTTTTGTACAGATTTAACAACAGCATGGAATTCTTTTTCACAAACAAAGGCAACAGTAAGTAGTATTTTAGCACTGAGTTAAATAAAATTGAAAATAAACCATACAGGACATTATTATTTAAAAATGAAAATTAATAACTTAGGTTTCTCTTGTAAATGTTATAGGACAGTAAGAGATTAAGATACTTTTTCAGTAAAATACAATCACTATTCTCCTAAAATGCATATATGAATCAGCCACCCTTAGTTTGTCCTATCTGGACACTGAGCTGTTTCTTACGATCGTAGGATTCCCAAAATCAGGAAGCTGCTGTCTTAATTCGAACAGACACTCTCTTCTTGTCTAAACAGTTGGTGAGGTTTACCTTTTTCTTGCTTCCTTGTTTCTGTCAGTCACCCAGATTTTAATTTTAGTTCTCTGAAAAAGCAATTGATCTGGTAAGGCAACTTTTCTCAATTCCTAATATGCAGTTTGCTTTTACAAAAAAATTACTATTAAGAATTTGTTTGGAAGTTTTCCAATACAATGAATTTGATGTATTTGGTCTGATACATCAAATTTTCATTTATCATTCTGTTTTTTATTCATTCTTTTTTCAGGATTGAACAATGTAATATAAATTGTTTCCTGCAATGAAAATTTTTGCATTAATGCGAAACTATTTTTGATTGTACAAAGCTGAAATTAAATCTGAGTTAATTTTACTTAGGTTAGGGAATGTTTCGTCCAATTTTTGTAAACTTTTTTTTTACTTTTTTGGTTTTTTAAGTGGCACTCTAACATTTAAAATGTCGATACCTTTCTTATCCCCTTTAATCTATCTAGTTGCAGCATATTGAGAACAAATTGGAAGTAGCTCCTATTAGCACAGCCGGATTGGATACTGTCATGGAAAAAAAGCCATCAATTAGTACTACCAGGAAAATAAGCAGGAAAGGTATGTATTAAGGCCTTTTCAAAAAGGAGCTTTTAGTTGCTTATGGTAGCATTTTTAAATGAAGCATTTTTGGTCTGTAACCAGCAAATTTTGAAAATTTGGTTTGAGAAGTAGAATTCCTATGTGATGGCTGGTGGGGTATCTTAAATTCTTGCAGTGAAAAAGTTCTACATTGAAAATAATTACGGATGCTGTTATAGCTGACGTCTGTGAAGAACAGGAAGAAAAAACTACCTGAGATTTCTTGTTTCTGTAACCAGAAGTTTGCCTTCATAATGTTTCCAATTTGCATAACATTAGCATTTTGTTATTAGGGTTATGCAGTGCATCATTTTAATTTACAACAAAGTGCTTTGGGTACAGTACATGCAGGCATGCACATAGCATCAGTCAGCAATTTTTTAAATCAAATCACTTTTTTTTTACTCATAAATCTATTCCAGCAGTATAGGGCAACCATGAGACTCTGGGATAAAACAGATTTTAAAGAATTGCCAGCAAGTGCTATATAAACATCCCATCATCATTCTTTCCATTCCATCACCATCATCACCCTTTCCACTCTGCATCATTAACCCTTCTACTGCGGCCCTGAGTGTGCTCTTGTCCTCCCATTAAATATAATCCTTGGCCATGACAAAGTTGTCTTTGTTTTATAGCCTAAACCAATGGGTAAGGTACTTCTGGTTTCCAGCACGCACATGCACACTGGCCAGCAAGTTTTCCAGTTACTGCCATGCATGCACAAGTGCCGATCAGCTGGCCGGTGTGCATGCTCATGCTGGAAAACAGAAAACCAGCTCTTCTGGTTCCCAGCAGTGCCGCACACACAAAGGCCAGCTGATCATTGTGTGTGCATGTGCAGTAGAAATCCGGAAGAGGAACGGGTGATGCCACACGTGCCAGACAACATGGCCCCGTGTGCCACTTCGGGCACGTGTGCCATAGGTTCGCTATCACGGGCCTAAGCTTTTGGGCAGCAATTTCTTTAGGCCAGATATTCTCAAGGTTGTTGTTATTGTTACACTATGATGACAGCTCTCAGGAGCTGTCAGAACTCTTTTTGTTCTCCTTAATGAAATTGCTTTTTAAGCAATTTCTCTTCCTCTCATTTTTTGTTTCTTCATTTTGAAGTTTTAGATATTTCAGGAACAAGAATATCATTTGTGAGTTTCCCCGTATCAGTACTTTAGTGTCTATTATAAGTTTTTGTCTATAAATCAAATTTTGTTTATTTTTTCTGGTTGAATATTGCAAAATTCAGTTTATTTTGCTAGGCATTTATAAAATGGGCCAAAAGAAATAAGTCACTAAAGCCGAGGCTAATATTACAGAAGAAAACAAATTGAGTAACATACTGTAGTTGTTAAAAAAAGCTGATCAGAGAGAGAGAGAGAGTGATTTCATTTATATTTAAGATTTTACATAAAGTAAAAAAATCTAGAGAAAAAGAGAAAAATGTGTAAGACAAAAATTAAGAAAGAAAAGCAAAGTTAGGAAATATAATGACTTCCAACTCTTCAGTAAATATTAATAAATCTACTATTTTTCCTCCCTATTAACTCTTCCAGAAATCTCTTTAGCCCCTTATTTAATTCTCATCTGTTTGAATCATTAAATACATACATCATTTTGTTGTTTTCTTCTTTTAGCAAAAAGTTCATAGATGATTTCCACTCTTTTAAAAAAGCTTTTTTTCCCTCCCTAATCAAACAGGTTTTGCCATTTCTATGAGTTCTGACATTTTTACGATCCATTCCTCCACTGTAGGAATTTCAATACAATTTTTGTGCGTATAATAATCTTGACATTATTAATATATACAAACTTGGTCTTCCATAAGTCTTTTCTGATTTGGGATCTGTAAGTCCCAATAAAAATTTATGGGCTTTTTGCAATATTAATCTTTAAAATTCTTTGTATAGTTGTATGTATTTGTATCCAACATTTCATAGCTTTTTCACAAGTCCACCATGCATTGTAAAATGTCCATATTTTTCACATTTCCCACACTGACTTAACCTACCTTTATATATTCACCCTAATATAAGTTTCAGTTTCTCAAGTTCCAAAATAAACTGTCACATTGTGGAACCAAGATGGGAACTGGTTGCTTAGTGACTTCTCTCCTCTTCCTCCGGTCAAACAGCCATTGGAATATGGTTGACTCATCAGCTAGGAATGATGTTTTGACTGAAGGCTCTATCCTCCTTCAGCTTCAAACTGTCAAACTGAATTCATGTCAAAATACCCAATGATACAAACAATCCCACACCCCAGTCAAATTCAGGCTTGACAATAACACAATGTAAATTCTATTTATCCACATTCTTTGCTGTGTATCCTACATATTATAACCAAAATTGGTAGCCCATTTTATTATAACTGATTAACTTGTTGTTCTTCAGTTTCAAAACTAAATAAGTTTATACATTTTTGCAAATACACATTTATCATTTGTACAATACTCACTTTCAAATTTCATTGTAGGTTTTCAATTCAATTACATGTATTTATTAAATCATTCTTTTAATTATATATACGGGAACCATTGAAAACAGTATCCCTCTGCAGTCCATTGTTCTCTTGACTTAAATTTAAATTCTCCATCTTTCTGTATTAGTAAATTCTGATATGTCTCTCATTTTTCTCTCTCTCTCCTGTTTCTCTTTTGTAAAATGCTTCTAGTGGTAAGACCAGTAAAGGCATTTTCAGACATAGCCTTGGATTTGTATTTGTTCCATATTCTTAGTATGGCATTTCTCATATAATGATTTTTAAAATCCACCTTAAATTTTACTTTATTGTGCCATAAACATCCATGCCAATTAAACTTCAAGTTACATCCTTTCAATTCTAGCATTCTTCTATTTCTCAGCAATACCCTATCTTTCATCCAAACTAAACAGTTGGCTGCAAAATACAGTTTAAAGTCAGGTAAGCCCAGTCCTCCTATATCTTGCATCCTTCTGTATTTTATACTTAAACATTGGTTTCTTCCCTTATCACACAAATCAAATTTTTATCATTGTTTAAATGGTTCCTCACTTTTAAAAACCAGTAATGTTTGAAATAAAAAACATCATTCTGGGCAATACATTTACTTTCATGACAGAAATTCTACCAACCAATGATAATTGCATTTTCATACCTTTACATAATTATTCTGAAATAACATATAGAGTTTATTAGATATAATAGTGTCCAAATATTTAACTATTTTTTCAACCTGAAAACCAATATTCCCATTCAATTATGTTTGATCTTATATACTCACATTTTGTTAATAGTTTATTTTTCTCATTATTAATTTTAAATGCAGAAGCTGTAGAAGCTTGTAGAAGCTGTAATAAGTCCCAGTATAGAATAACCTGGGTCTGCTATCGGAGAATAGCACATTGAACTTAATATGAAAATCCTTTTGTAAATCGGAGCCAGAGCAAGTAACCCGATCAGGCATTAAAAAGAGAGAAAGTGAGAGAGAGGGAAATGAATATTGACAATATTTGCAACCGAAAGGCAAAATCTATTTTTTTTTACTTCCCCCTTTAAGTTCTTTATTCTTTAAATTCTCTCTTCCCTGCTTTTCATTCCAAAATGAAAGGAATAGTTTTCTCCCCCTCAGAATCATTGTTGGAAGCTTTTTTTAACCCTGCTTCCAAAATGGGAAACATAAGTGCAGGAGGGGCCATCTATATTACAGATAAAGGTTCCACATGGTAAGTCTTACCATTGCTAAGTCTTACCATTGCTTATAAGACTGGCTAACAATCGATTATCTAAGTTGACTGATCAAAATATTTTAAAAAGTGCATAGTTATGCACAATAAGTTTACTACGGGTAGGTTATGCCTTTTCAATCATTTGATTTTATAGAATTAAATTTCTTCCTCAGTGACTGTTGATGGAATGAGAAGGACATTTCTTGATCCCTCTTACTTTCTGTTGGATGAAATATATAACCCAATTACGTGAATAAATAGTTGCTCATGTGATATTTATTCATATGATATTTATGATTTCCTTCCGGGTAGCAGACCAATATGGCGACTCTATATTGAATGCCAAGGCGAAGGGGCGATGTCCGGCATTTTCGAGGGTGTTGGGGGGCCAGCTGACCATCTTACAACCCCCGCCCAGCAAGCTGAAGCATAGCCGGCTCGACTGAGCCGTAGATGGAGCCGGAAGAACACCCGGCCGCCGTGGAGATAGTTAGGGATGGCGCGGTGGGCGGTAAACGGCGGCGAACGTTGAAACCGAGGCCCAGCTGATTGTCATGAATCAAATGGCTGCGTGGCTGGAGCGGTTGAGGCAACGGTCAGCGATGTGGCAGTGGCGGCGCAGGCAGCGCCAGCAGCGGTGCCTGGGCTGCTGTAAACTTGATTTGCTGTGTACTGGGCGCTGCGGGCGGCGACGCGGGGGCGGCAGCCATGGATACGGAGGCGGAGCTGACTAAAATGACACTTGCAACTGCAATGATGACAGCAACAGCAGCAGCAACACCAGGAGGCTAGGCTATGAGGATACCCTCTCTAGACGATGGAGAAGGCTTTGCTGCAAGCAGTTACCCCCCCTCGATGTAATGGGGAGGGGGCCTGGACATTCACTTAATCACCTGAATTCAACTTAATCACCTGAATGGCCCTATCTGAAAGAGCATGGTAGTGGTGGGGGCCGAGAACTGAAGACATGATTTTTTTGATCTTCCCCTGACTGCTTCTCCACCCCCCCCTTACTAGACCTAGGCCTAGTTTGGCCATTCAGCGAAAAACTTGCAGCTGTTCGATCAACTTATAGCCTTTATTTTAAATATCTTTTCCTCCTTGACTATCCTAGTTATCCTGATTATTTGATTTCATCTCTTCCGCCTGGATGTTCCATCTTTGCTTTTTTCGACCTTATCTTCGGATTTTTGCTGGTATCAGAAAGGGAGGAAGCATAGACATCGAGAGTCTTGAACAATTTATTTGTAATATTTATACAAGTGGATGGGACGGACC